GCACACTCTCCGCTCCTCTAATCGGCTATCCGACCGCCCACCAGAGTTCATCCTACATGCCCTAGTCCGTCCCAGCTCCCTCTTAACGCGACCCCCTCCTCCCTGCACCTCCCTGCACTACTCCAAGAAGGTTGCAGCCCTCCGCAACTCTCATCCATTCGTTGTCACCCTATACGACACCACCTCCCGCAGCCCGCCAGACCTTCCAAGTTTTCCCAGCATTGACCTTGTCACCATCGATGACTCCGAATCCGGCCAGCCACTGCCAACTCTTCATCAACCGCCCCGGTGACATCTCAACTACCCGCTAACGCTATCCAGGACTGTTTCTGACCTGTGCTTAGTCTAATTACTGAATTTAAGCTTTCATTTTACTGTTTAAGTGTTTGTTTATTGTCGATGTACCCATATTGATTGTCTTTTGTGCCCTCGCTGGTTAGTGAGTATTGTTGTGCTTGTCTTTCACTTTCAGTAATAAAATTAGTCGTGTTTGGAGTCGTGGCTTGGATTAACTCCGGTATCAGGTATAGTGCGAGCAAGTGTAGTAAGTGAACAAAGAGAGCATTCAAGTAGGTGCATAACAACGTTAGGCACAATAAAAGTAAAATTAGGTTGAGCATAATGAGCCACAGGTGAATCTAGTGAGCATAGAGTGAGCACATAATTAAAGCTAGTTATGAGGGAAAGGTGTGAAAAGCCAAGGAGCATTGTGGACAAGTTTTGATACTCCGAGAGCAATAACGTTGGATACTACAAAAGCAAACAAGTAGAGCAAAATTTTTTTCCTACACACACCTAAACAGGCACGGAAGCCACATATACAAGACCTTGTACCCAGGACCACTTCTGATACTGAGGAAAGCCCAAACCCAACTAAAACAACAAAAATATTGCTAAATTACAACAATTACAAATAAAGACACTCCTAACGAAAACAAAAGACACAAAAAATAGCAACACAATCATAAAGACACGACATAGATTTAGGGCTAAGGCAGCAGGTGGGGATGTTGGAGGCAACAGGGCAGCCTGCTGGGAGATGTTGGTGATGGTCGGCGGCCTACCAGAAGGGAGCTGGAGGAAGGGCAGTTTGCTAGGATATGCGTTGCAGATGGTTGGCGGCTTACCGAAAGGGAGCTGGAGAAAGGCAGTCTGCTGGGATGCTGCAGGGGGAGGTGGACAGCGACCTGGAAGAGGTTGGCAAGGGTCAAGACAACCCTTGGAAACATAGACAACAGATGTCGCATATGGTCGGGACAGCACCCAACAGAATAGACAACAAACTGGAAGGAGCGGGATGGGATGACGGCAGCAGAATAGCTGCTGGAGGCGGTGAACAACAATAAAGAAAGTGATTTGGGTGGCCGGCAAGAGGCAGCGACAACAGGTAGGTGATTGGAAGAACAATACGACAGAGGAGAAGATAGTTTTTTTGCTGCTGAAAGTGGAGCCGGAGGGGGGCTGCAGAAGGATACATATCTCCCTAACGTTGAGCTACAGTCAGAGCACCACCCGGACCATTGGAGACGTCGCCATCTCAGGCGAGCTACGACAGAAGCACCTTCTCGCCATCGGATACATCCCCTAGAGGTGAAGAACGCCTCAAAAGGCAAGATTCAAAATTCTGCACTCATCAAAAACTAAACCTTTGAGCACTTAGAACCACACACACACAGCTATATATACATATAAATCGGGCATCTGCTTGTTAGTAAGTCCCCCTGGTCTGGGGTTCAATTTCTCCCGAGTGTAGGGTGTGATACTAGAATTCTTAGGCGCATGAGGATGGTCGGGGCTCGTATAATAGCCTCCGACCATTCCTTTTAATATATATATATATATATATATAGAAAAAACTTAAGGGCTAATATATTAAAGCGGAAAAAATACAGAAAGGTTGTATGAGAGAGCCTAAAAGAAAGCCCAATTCACACAATACAACAAACACAAACCCAAATAAAGGAAAATACATAAAGGTAAAAAAATAAAAAAACCACCAAAGGGCGCAAAAGTGCTAGGGACGTCTCACTTTAGTCCCCCTCTGCCTCTAGTCATCGGAAGTGAGCCGGCTAACAAATTGGTAAGGTGAGTATCATTGCCCGAAGTAACCAAAGTATCATCCATCAGGTTCCTGAGCGTTCCTGCCTGAGCTCAAGTAGGTCTCCATTCTTCTTCTTCCTCCTGGATGTGTAAACCTGTCATTCCTCACCCGATGATTAACTCATCTGATCAGTAAATTCCAAAGTTAGTCGGACAGGTGTGGGCTGCTGTACATCATGATCACTATAAGCCTGAGTAACATTAACATCTTGCTCGAGTTGATGAGACGGTAGTGAGTAGTAAAAGTATTGCCACCTGTAATATCTGTAATAGGTTCTAGGATAGGTGGGGTCTGAAGAATCTCCCTCTCCACCATGATAGAAGGTTCCAAAGACAGAGGAGCTACAACATTGTGAGGGGACCGAATGGTTGACATATTGCCTGTGAGAATAATGACATCTTCATGGGTATTCTTTTGTACATGGTAATTTGTCATATATATATATATATATATATACACATCTGTGTGTGTGTTTGTGTGTGGCGTACCCCAACCTGCTAGTTGTCATCCTTAGTGTAAGACCCCTCAGGTCGACGTCTCAAATCCCCCTCTAGCAACGTGAGTCTTAAGGAGGGTGGTACTCAAATTGTTAGACACATTAGGAGTGGCTGGATGCTCGTATAATAGTCTCCGATTATTTTTTTTAAACATATAAATAGATATATGTGTGTGTGTGTGTGTGTGTGTGTGTGTGTGTGTGTGTGTGTGTGTGTGTGTGTGTGTGTGTGTGTGCGTGTGTGGGTGTGTGTGCCGCGTACCCCAGTCTGTTTGCATCCACGATATAAGACCACTCTGGTCAGGTGTTCGAATCCCCCCTAACACAGTTGACCTTAAGGCGACACTCGAACTGTTAAGGACATTATAGGTGGTTGGAGGTTTGTATAATAGCCTCTGATCATTCCTTTTAACTATGTATATATATATATATATATATAATGAGAATTTGTAAATATAATACGTAATGCTTGGGAAAGGAAAGAAAAAAGAAAAGGCAGGCATAGAATAGATAGGAAATAAAAAAAAAGAATCATGGAAAAGGAAGGGAAGAGGGAAACGAGAAAAGAAAGAGAGAAGGGTTTGATGGCAATACTGTAGTAGTTATAGTGTCACAACCCGGAGAAGCTCTTGCGTCAATCTGCTTAGGTTAGGGGAACTTCGACCTTATTCGTCAAAGTTTTTACGATAGAAAAATTTTGGTGGGGGTGGCTGGAGTAGGGGCAGATACTAAGGACCTAGGATAGGACCAGAGTGGGGCTGACTCTTATACTAAATGATACAGGAGGAAAGCCCAAATCACAACGAAAATAATAATAATATTGCTGAATTTCAAAAATTACAAATGAAGGCTCTCCTAGCAAACAAACGACGCCAAAAATAGCAACACAATCATAAATACACAACATATAGACTCGAATTAGGGCTATGGCAGTAGGTTGGGAAGTTGGAGGCAGCGGGACAACCTGCTGCGAGGTGTTGGAGATGGTCTGCGGCCTGCCGGAAGGAAGCTAGAGGAAGGGCAGTCTGTTGGGATGTGTTCGAGACGAATGGCGAGGCGGTGGACAACGACCTAGAAGAGGTTAGCGCAGGACAACCCCCGAAAGCATGGTCAACAACTAGAAGATGTCGTCGATGGTTAGGACAGCACCCGCAGAATGGACAGCAACCTGGAAGGTACGGGATGGGATGGCGACAGCAAGATAGCTGCTGGAGGCGGCGAACAACAGCAGGGAAGGTAATTGGGGTGGTTGCGGGAGGCAAGAGCAGCGGGTTGGTGGTTGGAAGGCTAGTTCGGGAGCGGAGAAGATAGTTTGTAGCTTTTGGAAACGAGGTCGGAGGGGGGTTGCGGAAGGATACATATCTCATCAGGGTCTAGTTACAACAAAACAAATCGTCATCGGATATAGCCCTAGGGGAAGAATGATTCAAAGGCAACACTCAAAATTCTGCATTCATCAAAAACTGAACCCTAAAGCATTCAACAACACATATAAATTGGGAATTTGTAAATATAATAGGTAATGCTTAGGAAATGAAAGATATAAAAAAGGCATGCATAGAATAGGTAGGAAATAAAATAAGGGAATCATGGAAAAGGAAGGTAAGAGGGAGGAAAACGAAAAAAAAGGGGGAAAGGTTTGACAACGGTACTATAGCAACTACAATCCCACGTCCGCAGCATTGTAACAACTACAGTGTTGCGCTCTGAGGAAGCTCCCACGTCAACTTGATTGAAAGGCAAAGCTTTTAATCACTACGCTAAAGTGGCTTGCGCAACATGCATGAAAGCACTTCAATTATGAGATTGATTGGTTGTGCAAAACATAGGCAAGCTAATGCTGGCTAGGAGATAGTGGAAGGGGGAAGACAAAAGTGTGGAAGTGGGACAAAAGAGTACAGAGAGACCACACACGAATACCATGTTAAAATAGAGAATTTTTCTTTTATCTACTGATTGAATCTTGAGTGCCTATAAATAGGCTCATATGATGATAAAAATAAAAATAAATAAATAGGTGAATATCTTGAATTAAGCCGATATAAAAACATCCCTTGAAAATTGATATTTTCTAAATGTATCACTTTCAAGCCTAAATATAATCCTACAATAATATCATAAATAAAAAAAACATCCTAAATGATAAAAAGGATAACTATTTGGAAGAAAATATCCAATTAAGCAAGAACCAACTTCTCTTTGAAATGTTAGAGCATTTCCCCTCAAATTTATAGCTTGCAGCTACGAGGGGATATGATAGTGCAATTCCCTGTGTAGTAAACAACTTAATACAGTTCAGATCAATGTGTAAATGTCAACAAAAAAAAACTAAAATTATCAAGTTGCTGGAAATGAATCCTACCTTCAATTTGCCAACATGATATGGAAGCATAATGTAGTTACCTCATTATCTCTTAAAGCTCCTCTAAACAAATCAAAGCTTTCCAATAATTTGTACACTTCCAACTTAACTGACTCATCACCCTCAGTATATTTTCTCCAGACCTGAATCATAGGTTGTTCTTTCCATTTGAATGCTGGATTGGGCAGCATCTCATAAATGGAAGGGCATTCAACCAGCTGAAAAGTAGAGAAAATGCATTTCCATGAAAAGTTGAGATTAAAAGGTTGATAAATATGAATCATAAAGAATGAAAGTTGTGGGAGTGATGACGGTAAAAATAGATTAATAAGAATGCAAAGTAGCATAAACAAATACATAAGTAATTTCATCATTCAAAAATATATAACAAAAACTAATTCAGTACAGAGTAAAACGGGAAAGAATAAGCATCAAGGATCCCGCATGCTCAACATTCCAAGCAAAAAGTGCCACATATCAAGCTTTCTCACTCCACTGCTGTTTATAATTAAGTATATGTCCTTTAAACAGTTCAAATAAACAACAGAACTAAATAAACGTCTTCGAGGTGGGTTATTCTAATTCCCAGTAGCAAAACTTCTATGTTTTATGTGATCCAAAAACACGTTTCAGAAAAAAGAAGAAGCTTAGGAACTGTCAAGTGAGGAACTTGCTCCCGCTGAGAGAACAAGGCATGATTGTTGAAAAGAGGTGCGTAAAAATTTCTCAGACTGAGAAAAGTGGGGACGTAAAGATCATAGGAACCAAAGGAGTTTTCCAACAAAATTAGGGCAACCAAATATTTTATTTCAATACAAAAAAGTAACACAACTAAAATGCATAAAAATGCTTTTCTCCCAAACCAAAACCCTAACACCTACAATTTGAGAGGTAGTCGATCTCTCCAAAACCGTAATCCTATGACTCAAGATAACAATCTCATAGCATAACTAACCCTAAAAATAATAGGCTCTATTTATGCTCCACAATAATAACTAATAAAAGACTAAATTTTCCTTACATGCCAGTCTAATATCATTCCACTCTCAAAAAGACACCTTATCCACAAGGTGAAAAAAAGGAAACTGTTGTTGGGTCAAGTCATGTGACTCCCACGTAGCATCATCATCTGACAATCATTTCCACTTAATCATAAGTTTGTAGTAACTCTAATGAGTTTGAAATGTTGTCTTCTGCACATCCTTTGGCCATATCCAAATATGTTGGTACCTGACTTCAAGTCAATATGAGAGGATATTGTCGTCTCAAACAACTTGTCAGGTAACTCGTCAATCACCAAAATGAAAAGTTTGTCTGTTGCTATTTCTTTATTCAGTGCCTGATAATACTCCCCTCTCAAAAACACCTTATCCACAAGGTGGAAAAAAGGAAACTGTTGTTGGGTCAAGTCATATGACTCATGTGGCATCATAATTTGACAATCATTTCTATTTAACCATAGCTCCATAGTAATTCTCATGAGTTTGAAATGTTTTTCTGTATATATCCTTTGGTCATATCCAAATCTATTGATTCATTGACTTCAAGTCAATCTGGGAGGATACTGCAGTCCCACGCAACTTGTCAAACAGCTCATCAATTACCGAGATGAAAAATTTGTTGGGTACTATTTCTTTATTCAGTGCCCAATAATTCATATAGAAAGACCAACTCCCATCCTTCTTAAATAGCCAAATTAGGCTAGAAAGGGGCTTATATTGGGTTGTATGATCCCAACCTCCAATATCTCTTTGATTACTATCTCGATCTCAACCTTTTGTACCTGCGGGTAGCAGTATGGGCGCACATTAAGAAGAGAAACTCTCCGTCTCAACATTGTTGCAAGCTCGAGTACGCTCTCGATTCCTTGGCTAGATCTTGTCTACTTTTGTTCTTTTCAACTGTTCAGATGTTGTGTTATTCCTCCAAGCGCTGTTGTTTGCGCCCACTCCTGATTCTTGCACTCGATCCTGCAGCTCCAAATCCACTTAATGAGGGACGCTAAAATTGATATCGCACAAATCTTTCTGATTGTTGTGGTTCATATCTGCTCTAGATGTCATCGCTCGATCACGCGACAGGCGGCGATTTGCATGAAACTCTACGATCTTCATTTCTTCCAGGGTCGTGAATATCCTCACCCTGGACAAAAAACGTCATCTATTTCAGATCTGATTTGGCTCGCCTTTTCCTCTAATTTCCTTTCTAGGGCATCTATTTTTTTTGGCAATCATTACTACCAAAAAGATTTTTGATCATGAAGGGAGAATTCTATACGCCGCAATCTCATTCGTTGGTCTTCTAACTAGCCAGAATCACGACTTTATTAGGATACGAATGTCGCCATCCGTCATCAGCTTCCAAGATCATGAGGTTCAATCACTAGGGCATACCCAATCTCATCGTTGGCATATCGGATTGAGACTAGGGCACGCCTAATCCCGTCATTGACTTCTCTGATTTGATACATGCACGTTATCCCGACGTCGACTTTCCAGCTATCGCGATCTGTTCTTTGACTTCCCAACTAGAGCTTTCGAGCATTTATAGTGATCACATCTTTGATTGACATGTTTGTACGATTTCGCGATTTCGCGATCTCGTTGTTTATTTCCCAAATATTGATTGCTCGGATACCAATTTGATAGGAACAAGAAAAACTTTCCTTAGAAATTAAAGAAACCAAAATTTTATTTCAATAACATCAAGTAACACAACTCAAATACATAAAGATAAACACCAACAATTTGAGAAATATGCAATCTCTCTCAAACCATAATCATAAAACTCAAAAAGATAATCTCATAGCATAACATACTCGAAACATATTGTTGAATTTAGAGAATAGAGTTGCATACCTTTATTGATAGGAAGAGATAAAGGAAAGACATAAATTCAAAAATAGACCAACTAGGAAATACATAAATATGAAAACGGAAATAGAGTAAATAAAATCAAATAAAATATAGGAAATACATAAATATGAAAATGAAAACGGAAATAGAGTAAATAAAATCAAATAAAATATAATAATAACTGCAGCAATAATTAGCCTAATAATTAGGATAATAATTCTAATATTAACCCTCAGGTTGAAGTTAAGATGTTCAATGTTAATTTTAGATTTGAAGTCGTCAAACAATGACCGAAGAAGATTCTTGTTAAGGATATCTGCTAATTGACCATTAAATGAGAAAATAGAATATAAATCTCCCCTGAATCAAGCTTCCCCCTAATAAAGTGTCCATCAATATCCATATGCTTGGTTCGATCATGTAGGATTGGATCATGGGCAATACTTAAGGTTGTTTTATTATCACAGAATAGTTGGAGAGCAGAGACTGACATAAGCAATTCATGGAGCATGATGTGTAACCAGAGAGAGCTTCACAGATACCCAAGGGCATGGAGCGAAACTAAGCTTCAAAACTGCTCCGGTTTCACAATTCCACATGGCAAGATTTCCCACACGAATGAGTAGTACCTTGAGGTGGATCGCCGATCATGGACAAATCCGACTCAATCCGCGTCTATATAAACAACAACAAAATGAGAGGTGTAGCTTGAAAAGAACAAATTTGAGCCTAGTGAAGGATCATGTGGACGACTCAGAAATGGTGCTCATAGGGATTTTGCATGAATTGACTCACAATACCTACTGTGTGACAAATTTCGGGGCGAGTATGGGGGAGGTAAATGAGTTTCACCACAAGTCGTCGATAATGAGTCTTGTTTACCGGAGCCGCGTTGAGAACATCAGCTAATTTCTCACTGTGATCCATTAAGACTATCAATTGTTTGCAAATGAGAAGGTTATCATTGTAAATAAATCGAGCACATATTTGCGCTGAGATAAGCAAATGTCTTGAGATGACCGAGTAACTTTCATGGCTAAAAAGTACAGGAGTGACCCCAAGTCCTTCATTTCAAATGGCGTTGCAAGAATACCTTTCAAAGATTCCAATGTTGGTAAAACATTACCTATGAGCATAATATCATCAACATAGACGATAAGATAGCAATTTTGACACTGGAGGAATGCTAAAAGAAGAGAGTATGATATAATTGGTCTTGTGAAAAACTATGACCCATTATCACCTTTGTGAACTTATCGAACCAGACCCTTGGGGATTGCTTCAGTCCATAGGACTTCTGCAGTCGACACACTTGTCCCCCATTGAACAGTAGAGTCAAAGCCTGGAGGCAGGCACATGTACACATCTTCTGTGAAATTCCCATTTAGGAAAGCATTTCTGACATCTAGTTGAAGTAAAGGTCAGTCCAAATTTACAATAAGGAAAGTAGAACCAGAATAGTGTTTAATATAGCAACCGAAGAAAATTTCTCCTCATAATCAACTCCATATGTTTGTGAGTAGTCTTTGGTGACTAATCGCCTTGTTGCATTCAAATGATCCATTATGGTTAAACTTCCTGCTAAAAATCTAGCGACAGCCTACTGCTTTCTTAACTGGAGGAAGATCCATAACAACCTATGTATGATTCCGCTGAAGGACATTCATTTCATCCATTGTTGCAGCTTTTCAGAAAGGGTCAACTAATGCTGCTTCAATAGTAGATGGGAGGTGATGATCTGTCGGGACAGCAGCAAACCCTTATAGGTACAAGATACACTGTGGATATTTTTTTCATACAATAATAAGAGCTTGCCTGATTACATACCTCAACAAGAAAACTCACTCCTCATGCGGAGTAGCATCAATTATGAGGATTTCACTCGGAGTGAACTCCAAGTCCAGTAAATAGATAGAAGGCTTCAGAGTAAGACCACGAGTGCGCCGACAGGGAAGTAGGGACAGAGGGACACGGAGCTGGTTGCTGCTATGTGGTGGATCCAGAGGGACAAATGGCTCCTCGGTTATAGTGGTAGAAGAAATATCCACAGGGTTCAACAAGGAATAGTGTCAAAGAAATCAACCTCCCCTCAGTTAAGGCAGTGACAGGGAAGTATGGAACACTTTTAAATCAAGAGACATATACACTTACATAAAGTTTATTTGTGGTAGGATCAAGATAATGATAGCCTTTTTGTGTGGCAGAATATATGAGGATATTTTAAAGACCTAGGATCAAGCTTACTATGATTAGGGGCAGCGTTTCGAACAAAAGTCGCGCACAGAAAAATTAGAGGTTCAAGTGTGTTGAAGAACCGATTGGTAGGGAAATATGATAGATTGTGGGAACATAATTTAAATGCACTAACCCCTTCTCAATTTTTTGAAATAAAATGGAATTCTAACCCAATGGGTTTATTCATGTTATGGTGGATAGAATTTTTGCAATACTCGATAGCAATTTGATTGTCACAATAACTTTTTAGATATTTTTCACTTCATAGTTTAATTCTTCTAATAATCTTTTTAGCAAAATTCTTTCAAAAATACCAAATGTTATTTCTATGATTTAACCTTAAAACTATATCTTGAAACAACTTGTCTTTTACTTTCTCATATAACCAAGTTTTCTCATACATAAGTAATATCCAAATGTGAACCTTCGATCTAATGCTTCTCCGCACAATTAGCATTTACTAAATTTTTGTTGAAGTTATTCAATGACTTTGTATATGGCAAGCCTCTTTCTGGAGTCAACTTGAGGTATCTTAGAATGTGGTTAATAACTTTCATATAGTGTTCAATAGATTTGTTGATGTATTGGTTTATGATATTAATAGGAAACTCAATATCAAGATGAGTGAAAGAGAGACGTAGACGAGTTTGGCTGCAAGACATTGATGTCAAACTTTGTTAACAAGGTGTTGTTAGTCAAAATCTCAATTTTCATTATTGGATAAATTAAAATTTCTATAGGCATACAACAAAGCATTAATATTTCTTGAAGTAAATTAAGATTATACTTCTTTTAGGAGATTACAATACCTTATTTTAATAGTACAACTTTTATACTAAGAAAGTAATTCAAATCTCATTTTTTACCATAAACTATTCTAATCTAGCCAACTCTCCTAAAACTCAACAATGAATATAATATTATCTAAAATAACAATCAGAATCACCCACTTTCCCTTTAGGCAAATGCTTGATAAAGAGAATATGATAACTTTAATATTGAATGTACCAACACTTTTCAATAGATTTTGAGAACAAGTCAAAACACGTGCTAGAGAATTATTTTAGGCCATATAGAGTTTTTCACAGTTTGCATGTCTTATTAGTGCTTTACTTATTTTAGGCCATATAGAGACATGAAGTGTATTTTACATAGATTGAATATATAAAAAGGTGATGAGGAAGTCTATGATTCTGATGTGATTTTAATACGTTAAATAAATTGATAAGATGGTGAGTGAATTTGTAATTACGTTAGTCTTCAGTACGTTGAATGAGGCGCAAAGAAAATATTCATTGTTAATGCTTTGACAAAAGTATATGGCAGATGATCAAATAAGTTAAAACCTTAAAATATTGTTCTCAATAACGTTGGTATTTGAGGAAAGTAATATCCATGAAATCATAATTTTTTACAGTGGACAAGGAATATACCTTCTTTTCAAGTAGTATCCAATAAAAAAAACCCTAAATAGATTTATAGTATAATTTGTTCGTATACTAAGAATGAATATGAATGAAGGATAAACATCCAAAAAATTTTCACAGAAATGGAAGAAATGATTTTAGTCTTAGTAAAACAATTAAGAATGGTTTTAACAAAAGTTTGAAATTAAAATGCATATAAGATAATGTAGTCATTAGGAAAGTTCCTAGCCAGACAGAAAAATTTGTGGAGAACAATGGTAATGTAGCCCCTCTAAAAAGTACATATTTTTTCTTTTAGCAACTTTATTGAGAGGTGTTGACATGAGATCTTTTTGGTGGATAACTCCTTGATGTAGGAAATAATCTCTAAGGCTGATTCAAAATATATTTTGACATTGCGGATTTTTGGAGCTAGAAGTTCAAATTGAAATTGAGTGTGAATTTGGTGTTAGAATGTTTAAAAGTTTATCTACTTTTAAGTTTTTCATTCATTAACAAAACCCAATGGAAGAGTGTGATCAAGAATGAAGAAAATGATCAATTAGCTCCGAAAACATTTGTTTACTCTTGATGGCCTCTGAGTTGAACAAGTGTCGAAAATGACACATCTCTAACATGCCCAAATATATGTATGATATGCACAAATTTGAGTAGGAAGCATTTTCAGAAAAAAACTAGGTTCTAATACAATTTGAACACAACAAAAATGTCGCTTGAGTAACGCGCAAGGGATGGTCTGCCCATGAGATATCAATACAAGTGCATGCCATACATCAATTAACAATAATCAATCAATGCTAAAATTAGAGTGTTGTTTGCAAAGGACAATTGACGAATGTGATAAAGCATATCTTTTATTAACATTTCTTTCTTTTGCTATTATTAAGTTTCTTTTGTGAATATATGTATTTTATATTATACTTCACTACATGCCACATTTAAAAGAAAATACTATAAATTACATATTTTATATTAATTATTTATAAAATATAACATTATGCTTATAGCATGATGTATGCTAATTTTTCTAGTTATGTCATATTATTGTGGCCATGTCAACTTATCGTGTCTATGCTTCATATGTCCCCACACATCACTATAAAAAGGAAAAAAATGGAAAGACTCGTTGATTTGATTGGAATAGAAACTATGAGTGTGCTTAACCATATGACAATATTAAAATTCTATCTGCTTTTCTTAGGGGTGAATAGAGAAGAAATTAACTTTTGAAGTAAAATTTTGGTGTCGAAAGTAATAGTGTCAAAGCCAAACATGACCATCATTATTTAAAGTGCTTATAAACAAGATTAATTGTCAGTCATAAGGCAAAAAGAAATTACCAATTGATGCATTGTCCATCTAGAAACAAAGAAGAAACTTTTGAAGCCATAAATAAATTGCAAACCAGTTAGAAGTGAATCGTTGATGCAACCAGGAGCACCTGTCAAATAAATTTCAAGTTCTAAAAGAGTTACTAGTCCAAAGAAATATCTCATGAAATCAACTGCAAGAAATCACTCATTGACACAAACTATGGCATAACCTAAGTTCAATCACAATTGCATAAATAATAAAAGGTTTAAAAAAAATGTTAAAATTGATAAATTTCACATATGAATCCTATACTTTAACAGTTACCTTGAAAAGGTGTGGCGATGGTGATCCACTTGTTCACATACTTCGCAAACACCTGTTACATCATTTCAAAGATTAAGAAATCTGTAATAACAGAATTCCAGGACTGGTGTCATCACCATCCCTAGGCAAGAAAAGAAATCAATTCCTGTCATAATTCAGAAAAAAGCTTACATCTTTATGAAGGTACATGAAGCACTGAACAAGTAATCCACCCATAGAATGCGAAATTACATTCACCTTTTGCCCACCAGAGGCTTTATAAGCAGTTTTTAGTTTCATTTTCAAACCATCCATTGCTTTGTCAATCCTGCTAAAAACGACTATCTAAATCATACAGAATTTCAATAAGTAAATCTGCAGAATTCCTGTAATCTATCAATTTAGATAGTTTACAATGATTGCCAACATATTCCAAATAATTTGTCAATGACCCACCTATTGCTTTGACGAAAGTCATAACCATATCCAAATAAAGTGGTTCCTTTCTTGTAGCCACAATCAATGAGCATTTCAATCATTTCATGAAAATGATATACATCAGTGATGTGCAGCAATTTTACCCACTGTAGATAAAAAAAAAGAAAAACAAAACAAAACAATCAGAACTGGATAAACTTTGCAAAAAGTATAGAGCAATGGGCATATCTTTCAATAATAAGCAGTGATTAGCTATATAACACAATGTAGAATTTGGCCGTTTACCTAGTACGGCATAGGGCACTGCATTATCTTCAAATTATATTAAACGGTTACAGACTAGTTAATAAATTAAAGCATCAAAACCATCATTTTCATCATCATCATTAATCTTTTACCAAACACTTCGGTCTAGATCTATGATCCTTCCGTTACATTCCTTCCTACGTAGAAGGTGACTTCACAAGCAAATATTTTAACATTTTTTTTTTCTTTTTGTCATTCAGATTCCTTTCAGAGCAAATTTGTTTTATCACTACACCTCTCTCCTTTAATTGTACAGGCCAAAAGATCCAAAACCAAATGAATTTATTTTTCACAACTTTATATTGAATTGGTGCTAATCCCACTGTTCCTTTAATATTTTTTCTCAATATATGCTTCTTAATTGAATTAGGCATCATCTATAACACACTCATTATTTTCACACTCAACTTGATTGTCAACAACTTTCTTTGTTGCCAACTCAGACCCAAAAAGTAAAGGCAACGTAACTACAAATTTTTAAAAGTGCCTTCTAAATCTGCACGATGTTCTCTTATTACATACTCTAAGGAAATGCTCCCTTAACCGCCCATTGATTTTGTAAAAGACATTCAAGAACTTAAAACCATCAAAGCGTAAACAGCATTTGAATGATAATTAAAAAAGTAACAAAATAAATCTATCAAAATAGCATATCATATAATAATTCATTATAATAATAAATCCAGAACTCTCCTTTCTAAAATCTTCCACAGTTGTTCTAACTTTTGACTTCAAAAAAGATATCAACTATCAAAACTATCATATTATACATATGCATATTAAAATCTATGCATATTCAAAAAAGATATCAACTATCAAAACTATTATATTATACATATGCATATTAAAATCTATGCATATTATACATCAAGGTACAACAACATAAATATCTTTTACAGGCATATGTATAATAGGAAAAAAGAAGAGTGACGGTGGTTCTCAATATAACACTTTTATGAATGAAAATTCATTGGAAGCTCCACAACAATCAATGCTACTCACTACCATAGTTTAATTTTTAAATACAATTTATACAAATATTCTCTATTTTTCATCAAATCAACTATCATGACACTATTAGATTGTGTTAAGGTCAATCAAAAGCATATAACAACATCGTTTTATTACCCTCCAATTTTTTAATAATCATCTTAGCAAAAAAATCAACTCTATAATAGATCTTCCACTATTTGATATAAGAAAATGAATCTTTGGAAACTTCATAACTACATCAAATGCTATTCACTACTTTAATACAACTTTAAAATACATGTGATATACACATTTTCTTTTATTGTTCATCGAATCAACTATCATGACACTATTTTGTCTTTTTATGGTGAACAACAGCTTATCGAGATTACGTTATTACTCTTCCATTTTCAATGAGCATTTAAGCACGAAAATAACCTTTAAAAAAGTATGTAATGCTGATTCTCAATCTAACACTACCATAAATAATTTTTTTAGAAGTTCTACAACTACATCAAATGTTACTCACTACTTTATATAACTTTAAATATAATTTATATACAGATTTTTTTAATTATTATTCAACAACTCAACTATCAGGACACTTTATTATGTTTTTAAAGCATATCAAGTTCATTTAATAGCTCAAATGAGAACGAAGCCGAATTTTCGCACAAAGTAGAGCAAACAAATATATTCTTCAATAACACAAGGCAACACAATATGAATACATAAAGATAAATACCTACGATTCGAGAGGGGGGCTATCTCTTTCAACAACTACAATTCGAGAGGTAGGCAATCTCTCCTAAACCGTAAACCTAAGACTCAAGACAATAATCACATGCATAACCCTAACCTTAAACATATTAGCTCTATTTATATCCCCACAACAATAAATAACAAAAGCTTAAATTCCACTTAGGTGCCGGTGTAGCATTACTTCCCTCCCAAAAAGACACATTATTCTCAAGGTGGGAAAAAATGAAGTTGTTTTTGGATCAATTGGTATGACTCTCACTCATAAGCTGACATGATTTTGGCTCTCATCATCGTCACTTAATTGAAATAAGTAATAGATCATTCACACTGCATTGGGGACGTGCCTAATTCATAGCCTGAAACATCTATCCCTACAATGAAAGGCCGGCTAAAATCCAATAAAGTTCGCAATGGTAAACTACTTAAGGCCTTCTTTAACTTCTCAAAAATTTCAATGTCACCTTCTCCCACTATAAGTTATCCTTCTTCAGTTTTTTCCGTCAACGGCCACACAATCGAATTATAACCTGGCACGAACTTTCGGTAGTATCTTGGAAGTTCCAGAAATCTTGCCAATCCCATCAAAGTCTTAGGTAGTGGCCACTCCAATATGGTTGTCACCTTCGATGGATCTGTTGACGCAAAGTCTTTCACATATTAAGGTTACCGCAAAGCACTCCAATCTTGTCTCCATCCTGAATACTCCGCAATATCAAAACACAATACTTTACAGACTCCCCTGCTCTTCTCCACTTGTCTCATTCCCTTATACTCCTGAATCACATTCCTCCTGGAAGGCTGCCACAACAAAAGGCACCAGCACTATTAGATGTGGCCATCTGTCGGTGTCTTACCACTGTGGTTTTCTGTTCCAGACCGAGATCGTTCAAATTGAACTTCTCCAGTCCTTAATCACATGTCTTGTTCTGCCTACTGTCGCTCGTTCCAAACTTTCAGATATCGTGCAATCTTCTTCAAATGTTGTCGCTCGAATCTGCTACCGACTCCTTCGCTTGATCCTGTCTGTTCCTATTTATTCGAGCCTTCCAAATGTTGTGTTATTTCTTCCAAGTGTTGTCGCTAGCATCTATACCAGACACTATGGCAAGATCTTGCGAAAAGTTGTGAACCCCCCCCCTCTCTTCCATATATGAGAGTCATCTCTCCATGGAAGAGAAACGCACCTCTATTTTCGATCTAATTTAGCTCACTTTTCACTAATTTCTCCTCTTTTTTTATTATTATTATTTATTTTTGTGTGCATTGCAACCAAGAACATTGTCGATCATAGAAGGTGAAACATTATTATTATTATTATTTTTTGTGTGCATTGCAACCAAGAACATTGTCGATCATAGAAGGTGAAACTCCTATGTGTTGACATCCAATCGTTGGCTTCCCAAGTACCCTGAATCGTGACTAGGGGACCACCGATCCCAACATTGCTTCCAAGTACTCGCAGATATTTGATCACAAGGGCGGCACCTATACGCGCAATCCCTTCAGTCTTACCAACTAACTCGGGTCATGAGTACATCGCAAGATTCGCCAATACGCCGTGATGCTTCCCAGCTAGCTACAATCATGAATGTATTGTGAGATTTGCCTCTTCCTATCTAGAATGCAACTATATCGTCGTTGTTGGCTTTCCAGCTAGCAACTCTATCACAACAAAGGCCACCAATAGCGATTACATTGCAAGGTCTGCGATCTCATCGTTGTCAACTAACTGGAATCGTGACAGTATATGCGAGGGTCAGCGATAATTCCCAACTGCCCCCC